AGTTCCTGGTCCCCTTTTCCTATTGGCCTCAGTTGCTTTAAGGTATCTGCTTTAGTTTCTCTGCATTAAGGGCAACAAATGCTAGCTAGTTAAAAAAAAGAAATTGAAGAAAATCATAGAAGATGGAAAGATCTCCCATGTTCATGGATCAGCAGAAATCAATATTGTGAAAATGACTGTGTTACCAAAAGCAATCTACATGTTCAATGCAATCCCCATCAAAATTCCAATTATATTCATCACAGATATTGAAAAATCAACCTGAAAGTATATATGGAAGCACAAAAGACCTCAAATAGCCAAGGCAATACTGAACAAAAAGAGCAACTCTGGAGGTATCACAATACCCGACTTCAAACTATATTACAGAGTCATAGCATTAAAAACAGCATGGTACTGACACAAAAACAGATATGATGACAGATGGAACAGAACAGAGGACCCAGATATGAATCCATGCAGTTTTGCCCATTTGATTTTTGACAAAAAGGCCGAAACATATGATGGAGAAAAGATAGCCTCTTCAACAAATGTTGCTGGATATCTAAATGCAGAAAAGTAAACTAGATCCATTTCTCTTACCCTGTACAAATAGCAACTCAAAGTAGAATAAGGACCTTAATATAAGGCCTGAGACTTTGAAACAACTATAGGAAGTGAAGTATACTCACAGCAGGGATACTTCTGAAACCCTTTGAACACTGACTTTGGAATTAACAATGAAAGACCGGAGTGTAAAATAGGTTCAGGGTGTGCGTGTTGGTGGGGTATTTGTGGGCGGCAGGAGACTGAATGGAGGAGAAGAAGGTGAGGGAATGTGGTTGATGGGTTTCACATACATATACAAAATAGAATGATGAAACCTCTTGCAATTGCTTTAAGTTGGGGGGAAGGGAGGTTGCAGGAGGAGATGGTGGGGGTAATCTAACCAATGTACAATATAAGACTATTCTGAATTGTCACGATGAATTCCCCCGTACAATGACTATATCCTAATACAAATGGGAAAAATGGTATAGGGCCCACTGGCTCTTTGAGGGCCAAAATACTGAAAAAGTAAGATCAAAATCCAGTTCATTGAAGGATACCACCTATAAAGACTTAAAAGAACAATTTACAGGCCAGGCATAGTGATACATACTTATAATCCCAGCACTTGGAAAGCAGAGGCAGGAGGATCACAAATTTGAGGTCAGTCTGGGTTACAAATTAAGATTATTTACAATCTTAAGAGAAAATATAGTGTTTGCAACAATACAGTAAGCAGCATGTAAATCAATGCTACTCCTGGGCTGTACACTTTACTTTGGTCAGTTCAACCCCTTCCATTACTCTCCCTTACCCCTTCCCTCCCACCTCCCCACCCCCATCCCTGTTATGTAACAGCCTTCCATACATACGGTTGTATCCTCTACATGCACAGATGACTCTCAATCATTCTCTTCCTTTCCCTCCTCCCCAAGTTCCATAGAGTAGTTCCATTATTATAAACATGTTCTAAATATAACTTTGCATATGATCATGTTTGTTTTTGTGTATATGTTTATCTTTTGGATCTATCCTCCACATATGGGAGAAAACTTACAACTTTTGTCTTTCTGAATCTGGCTTACTTCACTTAATAAGATGTCCTCCGCTTGCAGCCATTTACCTTCAAACCATGTGGTTTCTTTCTTCCTTATGGATGAATAAAACTCTCTTTATATATATACCTATATACCACATTTTCTTAATCCATTCCTCAGTTGTAGGGCATCTGGGTTGTTTCCATAGCTTGGCTATTGTGAACAGTGCTGCAATAAAGAGGTGTGTGCAGGTGCCTCTATTGTATCCTGACTTACATTCTTTTGGGTATATATAGTTAATAAGAAGATATATTACCTGATAGAAAAATGGGTAAGGAATACCAGAAGATAACTTACAGTAGGAGAAACACAAAAGGCCGATAAACAGAAAAAGATGCTCAATTTTGCCAGCAATCAGGGAGATGAAAATTAGAACCACAGGATGACATTTTCTGTTCATCAGACTGATTGCAACTTAAAAACAAAACTGAGAATATGCAGTGTTAATGAGAAAGTGAAGAAACAGATATGTTCATAACCACTTGGTGGTATTAACCAGTTCAGATCTTTTTTTGGAGGCCAAACTTTTTATGTACATATTTTTGCATGGTGATTTCTGTTCAAGGAGTTTATTCTACAAATAGCCAAAGCTACTACACATGGACTGTCACTGGATGAATGTCCAGTACTAGGTGACTGCTTTCACACATACCAAGGAATACTACACAGCTATAAAAGAATGAGGGTCATCACAGATATATATTTAGATAGACATATACAGATCTATATACGTGAGAAAAACAACATGACTTGTATGAAGTGAATGGCAAGCTGGACTGGATCACATGGGCCTTGGAGAACAGCCTCAGAAAGGCATTTGGACTTGGGCAGTAAAACAAGGCAGAGACATAATAATCATAGCTATCTGAATGTCTCTGCAGATAGACTTTGAGAGAAGAAGAGATAGACTGCCTCTGCTCCCCTCCAGGTGAGGTGGGATAATGAAAGCAGAAGGAGGTGGGGAGATGGTAACAGATTTAAAGTGACCCAGACAAGCCACAGCTGTCATGGAGTTGACATGGAGAGGCAACCATAAATCAGGACTTAGGATTTTGGATTCTGATGGCAGAAAGCATAGGATTTAGGGATGGAAGGGATAATAAGCTGGGGATGGTAGGAACCTCCAAGACTACAATTTCCAGCTTGGGCTACTGAGTGAATGAGCTGTGAGGAAGAGTGGAGACAGGAGGCAGGGCTCAGTCTCTTCAGATCCAATGGAAAGAAGTCCCAGGGATCTGGGCTGAGTGAAGACAGCACCCACTGGGGCACCTAAGGCCTCAGACAGACAGACAGACAGAATTTCCAGAAGCCTCGTTCTTTCAAATGCAGAGTGAAAGCTTCTCTTTCAGAACCATGGAGGTGGCTCTCCTTCACTCAGATTCATAGCGGAAAGCCTGAAGCTGAACCCAGCGTGACTGGGCCTGACTTACCTAGTCAACCCATGAGCAGAGCACTTAGCCTGCGGCAGCCTGGGATGTGAGGTGACCTCAAGTTCTACCCCGGTGCAGAGGAGCAACCCTTGGGAAGCAGTCAAGAGGAACAACAGTGAGGGCAACTGCCAAGGTGCCTGTTCAAGCTTGAGAGTGGGAAGGGGCCTCAATGGACAGGCTGGAGAAAGACAGAAGAGGCAATAGGGAGAGATCTGCTCAGGGCAGGGCTGGGAGCTTGGTGCAGCTATGCCCCAAAGCAGGAGAAGGAAGGTGGAGAGATGAGAAGAGATAAGGCCAAGTCCAGCCAATGGGTCTCATCTTCCTCTGGCCTGAGTTTGTTTGTTCACCTCCTTCATCATTGGAGAAGAATTTACAAAGCACCAACAACCTGCCAGGCAGTGACCCTAAGGAGGCACTAGTGAAGGTGACTAGATGAGAGGCAGCCATATTCAGGGAAACAAGTAGTAAGATAACTTCTGGTAGAGATAAATGCAGAGCAGAAAATAGAACAGAATGATGAACTGAGAGTTGGGGAGGGCGAGAGAGGGAGGTGATCAGCTGCTGTCTGAAAGACAAAAAGGAAAAGGCTGGGGAGGGAGCCTCAAAGAAAGGCAGGCAGGGTTTTACAGGAAGAAACTAATTGCAAAAGGCAGTGTTTTGCTAATAAGACCATATTAAGAAAAGTAGGTTTTTTTCACTTGTAAAGAACTCATTAGTGAACTGTATTTTTAGTTCTTCCTCTGGGGGTTTAGAAATTGGGCGGGAGGTTTGTTGGGGCTGATGGGGGAGATTCTGGATCCCTGCAGGACCCAGAGGGAAGTGTATCAGAAGGAGGCAGAAAAGGAGAAGCACCCACCTGCCCCGGGAGGTCACATCCAGGAAGAACTGCACGAGGGCCAGCAGGTTGTGGTGGTGGTCAGACACCCAGGTGAGGGTACAGCACAGTGGTTGGAGCTGTGGGGACAGGGGACATTGGTGGGGTGCCGGAGGAAGCCACAGGGCTCTGACCTGTCACTCAGCCCATTCAAGGAATTAGGGGGAGGCCAGGGGCAACCTGATGACCTGCAAGCAGTGCAGTGCCCACTCAGGGTACTCTGGGGTGGCCTGGTCCCCATTCACAAAGCAACCTCCTTACCTTCCCTGGCCATTCTTGGATGCTCTCCACGAGCAGGAGCAGGAGATGCTGGAGGTCAGTCTTAGGCAGCAGGCGAAGCCCCACATCAAGGCCTGTGCGGCAGAGCAGCTCTATCAGATGCAAGAGGTTTGTATCTGTGTAGGCCCCCGGGCACGCTAGGGCACACAGCATCAGGAACTGGAAGGAAAGAGAACCAGGGATGGGGGCACATGGTAGGAAAAGAGGGGACGGGCTCCCTAGAAGATGGTTAGGCAGGAGGGTAGTTGCCTTGTGAGCTCCTGCGGCTGTGCTAGGTAGGTACAGAAGAAACAAGCAGCAAGGCTGGACTCGAGGCCCAGGTGAAGAGCATGCTTTCTGTAGCATGGGTACCACACTGCTGAGCAGGTCTGGATTGCATCTGAGTGCTGTGAGGTGAAGCAGGTTAAGGATTCACTCACCTTGTAGATATAGCTCAGGCTAATGTCCAAGGCCACCTCTTGGGGGGGTTCCTGCTGCTGTTTCTGATGGCTCAGGCTGCTCTCACAGTCAAGCACTCTGAGTTAAGACAAAAACAATAGTAGCACAGATGACAAGGGGATAAGAGGAGGGGGCATAAGGAAAGAGCAAGACAGAGCAGGTGGCCTATGTATACTCAGGAATAGACAATGCATAGAGGAACCATTTGTCCAGGGCCACCACCACCATGTGTTACGGGACATAACAAATCATTCCTAAATGCAGAGACTTAAAAACACTTAGTCTCACGTAGTTTCTACATGAGCCAACAATCCAGGGGCAGCTTAGCTGGGTGGTTGTAACTCAGGGTCCGTCTGGAGGCTCTCCTTAAGATGTTGGGTGTGGATACAATAGTCTCAGGCTGACTTGGCTGAGGAACCTGCCTCTGAGCTCACTCATGTAGCCATGAATTGTGTGCCTTGCCACATGGTACTCTCCACTGGGCTCCTCAACATGGTAGCTGGCTTCCAAAGCCAGACAGAGAGAGAGAGAGAAAGGGGAGAGAACATGTCCAAGACAGAGCCACAGCTTTCCATAACCTGATTTCAGAAATGCCATCCCATCAACCCTGATTCTGATTCCTACAGGTCACACAGGCTAGCCTGACTTTTTGTGTGAGGGGCTACACAAGAGTATAGACACCAGTGAGTAGAGGGCCACTGAGGGGGCAGACTCCCACATGCAAGTCTCCAGCTTCAGTTTTCTGGGACTCAGAAACCAAAATATCATACTTCCAACCTCCTCAATGGGTCTTCCTCAAAAGCATTCTCTTTTTGTCCACTCAATTGTGATGATTTTTCATACACTAAAAGTACACCCATAGTAGCTTATGTTGGGGGTAGTTTCTAAAGTTGGCAAGTAAGGTAAAAACCAGAATAAGAACGATCTAGAAAACTGCCTCCAAAGGTGTTGCATTAGATCTAACAAGTTGTCTAGAACAGGCCCAGCATAGCCAGTTCCCCCAGAGATGGGACAGAACCAGCTGAGCACCAGTTAGGGAGAAATTCTCTCCCTAACGACCTGAGTCACGTGCAGGGTGAGAAGCTCACAGGGTGAGATGCTCACAGGCAGCACAGTTCACTGTGCTGTGAGTGGACAGCACAGTCACACCACCCTTCCCTCAGGCTTCCCAGGTCACCCTCACTAAATTACTCTCTTTCTGGTCAAATATACATTGTTGATTTCAAGTCAGTTAAGAGAGTTTCTGACAGAGCTTCCCTTTGCTGTCCCATGTACTTCTCTGCTCTAGGAACTCGCTTAGTTGCTAGTTCTGGTGGGCTCTCAAGAACTGATGCTGTTGAGGATGACAACAGTACTGTTGCAAATAAGAAGCTCCAGTGTAGCCACCCTGGCAGTGCACAGGGAGGGCTACAGGGAAGTCTCTATTCTTCCTCACTTCTTGGCACTACTACTTCTCAGAGGGGAAGGAGATCTGTCTCCTGGGTGCTTCACCACCTAAGTTGATGGTGGGGAAGCTGGGCTCAGTCTTTCTTCTGGATTTTCACATTAATTAGGGGCAGCTGAGGCTGGTGTTTGCGCATCTGGGCACATGCTAGTCTTGCGCCAGTATGTGAGGGGATGTCCTGGTCTGTACCAGCCTGTGAGCAGGCACTGGGTATGCAAGCATGGGTGGGTATGTTTTCAAAATTTCCCAAAGGGTGGAGCTGACACAGGCTGCCATAGAGAAACAGGCTTTCAGACAAAGGGAGGAGGAGCATAGAAAGTGTGAGCTGGTAACACGTCTTCTCTGAGCTGTGGCGGGGAAGTGTGGTTGTGACAGAGTCTTCTTCTCCTTGGGAAGGGAGGGATGTGAGCCAGCATTCCCAAGTAGAGCAGCCAACTGATGTGAGCGACAGAATTTCTCCAGTCCTTGTCCATGGCAACAGCAGTGTAATGTGGTCCTGTTACCTATCTTTCTGAGAGTTGCTCCACTGAACTGCTGGCCTCTGACTACTATTCTAAGTGTAATTTATTTATTTATTTGGTGGTGTTGGGATGGAACCTAGGGCTTCATGCTTGCTAGGCAAGCACTCTGTAACTGAGCTATATCCCCTGTGCCTGCTATTCTAGATGCAGTGTCAGCTGATCCCCAGGACTCCAACTCTGCTCCCAGTGAGAGGCCATGGAGCACAGGGAATTCAGCGCACATCAATCTCCATGTCCCTTCTGGATTTGACAGGCTAAGAGTGAGATGATGGTTGGATTCTATGAGCAAAGCAGCTTCATTTGTCCCATCAGATCTCACCTTAGCATGGATTAAATCTTGCAATCTGTGGCCAGCATCTAGGACCTGGAGTTTGGGGCTCAGCAACATTGTCCTACACTCATTAAGTAATCTTACAAGAGGCACATCACTGACCTTTTCTTACATTTCTCTATTTGTTTTCCCTGAGGTTGAAAAACATAATTAAGCCAGTATCTGCACATTGCTGTGACATTCTCAGAGGGAAGATGGCAAGTATATGTGCACTGCTGCCACCATAATAGAGAGATGTCTGGTAGCAAGCAGGGTGCCTTCCTATAGTGTCTATCCAGACACCAAACTGGAGCTGTTATCTCCCACAATGAAGAGCAATCGATGCTAAGCCAATGAAGGCAGGGGTGGTGGTGGTGGTGGCTGCAAGAGACAAATTTTACTTGGATGGAATTGAATTTCATTATTGTAGGAGGCCAGTTACCAACTGACCCCACACTGGACAGGATGTCCTTTCAATGTGCTAATTTTCATTTATTTACCTGCTTAGTCCCTGCTAGGACCATGGACCATGATTCCTGGCACCAGGCAACACCACCAGTCTTTTGGTCTTGAACGGCTAAGCCTGTGTATCTGAACAGGCTCTTTAACTGGTTTTTGTTATGGTTTGGATAAGAAGTATCTCCCAAAAGCCTCATACACTGAAGGTTTTGTCCCCCGTTGGTGGCACTGTTGAGGGGCTATTGGATCATGAGGGTGCTAATCCACTGATGAATTCACAGCTAAAGGGTTTATTAGGAGGTAATGTCTGGTTGGAGGAAGTAGGCCACTGGAGTCATGCCTTTGAAGGGTCTCTTCCTGTCTCTTTCTCTCTGCTTCCTGGCTGATAGAAGGTAAACGGCTTTCCTCTCCCTTGCCCTCCCACCATGATGTTTCTGCCTTGCCACAGGCCTAAAAGCAATGGAGCCAATCAACCACGGAGTAAATCTCCCTTAAGTTGTTTTCTCAGGTATCTTGTCACAATGATGAAAAACTGACTACAGCTTTGAAATCTGGAAGCAGCATTGGAGGACAGTCACCGCTACCTAAGAATGTTCCCTGTATTCTCAGGTGAGACTGCAGCACCTGAAAAAACCCATTTTGTACGACAGTGTGGATGCCTGCCCCCTCTGAGGATCCTGATGCACTGGTTTATATTTTCTGCTCACATGCATGTCAGATGAGAGATAGTGATGGAAATATGAGATTAGGAAAGACCTGTCTTTCTTATAGCAACCAGAGAGATAGACAGGTTGTGTGATTGTGTGCAGAGACATCTCAGTGCCTCATTTCCAGCCACGGCTATTATGAGGCTCCATGGGTGCCCCTCAGAGGATCCCCAGAGGCATCTGTTCTACCAGGGGAGCCCTAGATGGTGACATTCCAAGAAGTAAACAGTCAAGAGACATGACAGACAAGCCTTTGAGTATGAGCAGGAACAAGGACAAGCAGGACCATGGGGAGAAGTTGCCCTGTTTCTCTGTTTCTCTTATAGCCACCTATCCCTGAAGGATATTGTGCTTCTTTCTTGGTAGAGGAAGAGCTGAAACCTTGGTGCTTCCTGAATACTCGGGGAGTTGTCTTCCAACACCATAATACCCAGAGCTTTCCCCAGTGCAGCAGCAGCCAGCCAATAACCCTGGGAACTGACCTGAGCATCTGTACTGTTAACCTGCCCCAGGGAAGACATAGGAAAGGTCTCTAGGTAGAAAAGCCTCTCAGGCCCAAGGGCTTGGCAGGTGGTACCTAGCTTGCTCTTACAGAGCCACAAGTAGAGAAATTGCCTCTTTGGCCACCAGCAGGATCCTCTGGGATATGTCTGAATCCTCCTGGGAAAAATGGTGCCAATAGCCAAGCCAAGGTCTGGGTGCTAAGCAAAGGAGACAGGAGATCAAAACAGCATGTTTGAGAACAAGACCATGTGGCACCTCTTGGCCCTAGGACAGCCTGGCTCTGCCCTTCTCCCACCAAGAACTTTGTGGTGCCTGGTAAAGCTGGAAGTCTATGTGCTGAAGAGTTGAGAAGACGTGTTTAATGACAATTCTAATGCTCACCTACCCTCTGTTGCCTCTGGAGACAGAAGATTTGTTCTGTAGCATGAAGGGCAGGGAGCAGTTAATTCTTAGGGGAATCAGGAAGGGTAGGGAGAGGGTGTGGCTCTTCACAGGGGTAAGTATAACCAAATGGGAAAAAATCCCCAGTGCCATCTCTTACTTCTCAGGTGGGCTCCTGTGCTTATCTGAGCAGTCACAGTGGCTCTTCTGATCCCTTCTAACAGGGACTCTTCTGATCCCCTCCACCAGGCCCTTCCCCTGACATGCATTCATTTTTTTTTTGAGTGTGATTCAAATTTCTCCCACTCATCCAAGAGGGGTGTGTTAGGAAGCAGCAAGTGGTTTATTGCACCAGATACGCAATGCCGAGTGCCAGAAGGGAAAGGGAGAGGAGCAGGAGCATGGCAGGCTGGCACATGTGTGGATATTTATAGCAAAGCTGAGTGTGGTTTGGTTTGGCAGACAATTGCCAAACACAGTCGTGGAACAGGTTCTTAAGAAAGCTCCAGCTTTCCCTGCACAGGAACATCCAGCAGCCAGCTACCAAGGAAAAGGGTCCTGGCACCTGCTGGGGTGGAGGGACTGTCAGCTGGATGTATGCGGGTAGTTCAGAGAACTCTTAAGAAAGTTATGACATTCAGTGATCTGTAGAACAAGATTATAATACATGACACTTTTAAAACCTAGATCTAGTTACCCATACATAGTTATTTATGTATATCGTATGGTACTGTGCCTGGAGGGCAGGGACAGTGCATGTGCAAATTAGCATCTCTGTTCATAACTACCCCAAACCAGCCTAGGCAGGGACAGTCACAAAGCAAAACTGAGAACTGTGGAGATTATGTGTAAAACTGCCTTGCTATCCACAAGTTGCTATCAGATAACTGGCCAAACAAGAGGCTTGGAGTGAGACTGAAGAGACTGGAACATGCCCAGGGAGATACTAACTAAGCTGAGAAAACTGGCTGCCACAAAGGAGGAGGGGCAACAAAGTCTTACTCGGTAAGTGGCAGAAACAGGCATTGGGTGAAGCAGCAGAACTCCTCCACCTTGGTTCTGTATGTGCCTGTGAGCCACTTGCCCTTCGTGGACTTGTACTCACAAGTAGGCCTGTGGCTTGTTCTGTAATTTCCACCTTGTAAGTTAGAGCAGAGCCCATTAACTTTTGAACAAAGGAGAGAAGGCAGCAGTGAGGAAGGGAAGGTACCAACCTGCCGCCGTGGTGAAAGGGCCCCAGCGGGTACAGGGCAGGGTTGTGGGCTCCCAGGCTGTGGAATGCCTCCATGACCTCTTCAAGTGAGGGGTACCAAAAGTGCATGTCTTCATCTGTCAGATCAAAGGATGGAAGAATTAGCCAGGGGAGATGACAGGATGCAGAACCATACTGGGAGGGGCTGGCGCAACACTTTCTGAACCAAGGCAACTGGTTTCTGCATTCTTTGGCACCATGGGTGCGATCTATAGAAATGAAGCGACCGGTGTTTTTCAGATGTGCATTGAAGGGCCCGAGAATGACCATGCCCTAGCCATCCACACCAGACAACTGGGTGATCAGCTGCCCATAGCTAAGTGAGATGAAGAGTCCTGAACCAAAGGCCCCAAAATTGTAAGGCTCAGAAGACACCAGCCTCAGCACCCCCAAGCTCTCTGTCTTGAAGGGCTGAGACCATGCCCACTGCTTCCTCATCATCCCCTTGCTGTGACCTCTGGGTACTCCCTGGCCACTGTCCCTGAGGAGCACACCTTGCCTCTTCAGCTTGGGACCTGACTCCTCAGCTATGGGCAGTTTCTCTGGACCAATTTAACAAAACATGAATGATAATCTGCCTACATCAACAAAGAGGCAAAACTGTGTACTCAGGGCCTTTTCTTCTATCAGACCATTTAAGGATATTTGCACAAAAGGAAAGTAGGGGGAAAAAATGTGGCTGAGTGTATCCAAAGATGGCTGCATCAAGCTCAGTTATCCCATGTGCTCTTTTGCACTGTGGCTCCCCACAACCCTCAATGGGAGGCACAGTCTATGTCTCTACTTTGTTATCATCATTCTTCCACATTATCTTATTTATCAATTTACTTGGCTCTTGGAATGCAAATTCCATGTAGGTAAGGGCCACATTTGTGTTGGTCATCTCTGCATGCCCAGTGCCCAGAGGAAGCTGAGTGAACAAGTAAATGAATGAATGAATAAATGAATGGAGAGAGGGAATCCCAAACAAAACCGACCAAGGAGTTCACAACTAAGAGGGAGCTGCAGTCACAAGATGAGCTGGTAGTGTCAAGAACACAGATGCTGTCAAATGTCAACAAGGGAATGCACAGGAATCAAGACCTTGGGTGCTGGGCTAGCATATGTGAGTAGTACACACTTGGGATAGCACTCAATTGAACATTTGCCATTCTGGAGGGTGAATGTTCTGCCCTAAGGGCCTACTTTGATGCACTCATAGTGTGCTGTGCAGGAACTAGCCAGGTTGAAAGGTAAGAAATGATCTACTGAAGTCCTTGTTCTCAAGATCTCACAGTCCAGAGAGAGAGGAGACAGGACTAGAAGTAAACAAGGTGAGAATGTTCCTGCAAAAATTCAAAGTAAGTGTAAGGTACAGACTCTGCTCATAGGAGGAGGAACTAATTGCAGGTGTGGGGAGGAGAAAGGTAAAGCCCATGTCATGGGTAATGGGTAGGCACCCACCTGGCAGAAGGGTAGACACAACAAAGGCAGAGCAGGTTCAGAAAAAACATGGCAGGTTCAGAACCGGGAGGCAAGAATAGGGCACAAAGAGGAAGAAAGGGTGGAGGAGGGCAGGGGCTTGGGGACCACCGCAAGAATTTAAACTCATGGAGAAATTTCAGCAAGTCTCACCAGCTGTGGTACCAGGAGACAGCAGAAGAGTGGACAGAGGGTCTCTGAAAGCTGTCCAAGGACATTTCTTCAGTAAGCATCAAGTATCTCTTTCTTTGGAAATGTATATGGGTCGAGACTTACCAAACAAGTAATTAGACTCTTGGAGGAGGAAAAACTTTCTCGTTTGTTTTTTTCCCCTCTCGGGCAACTTAACAAGTAAGAGAGCAGTAATGACAGCCCTTGTCCACTTCACAAATGAGTAGGGAAGAATGAAGTCTGTAAGACAATGCAGTTCCAGTTCTAGAAGAGGACTGGTTCAGGGTCTCGGGGCAGTTCCAGTTCCAGAAGAGGACTGGTTCAGGGTCTCGGGGGGCTGTGCACGTATGTGCATGCACATGTGGGTGGGCAGGTGAACTTTCCAGAGAGGGGAAGAGAATTAATCTAGGGTGAAGCCCAGAGAGGCCCAGCTGGGCTGGAACATCCTGCCAGCACTCAGACCCCAACGGGGGCAAGTGTGGCTGCACCTTGGCCTACACAGGTGCACGTCTGCTGTAAAACCCCTTGATGGGCAGCTGTGCCAGCCCAAGCATGGAGCCTGGCATCATTCCTTCTCTCCTCTCCTGCCCAGTCATCACTGACCCAGAGCAATTTCAGAGGAGGGAGCCCAGGATGCCTTGGGATAAATCAGTCCCCATCAACAGCCCTAGAAGTTGGTTACATGATGACAGGAAAATACCACCCCCGAGACCATAATTAAGGCTGCCTATAAGTAGGCCATGTGCTCAGCTTTTCCTGAGCACTGTTTGTCCCAAATGAGGAATTTCTGGAGAGCTGACACAGAAGAAAACCCGGACACGAGGATGGCAGGCTCTATGTCCCTAGCTCAGTTTCTCCGTGCACAGGACACAGTTATTTAGGTGAGTGCAGCACTCAGGCACTGGGCCTTTCAAAATGCCAGTGTGAGCAGCTTCAAACAGCTGGGCTCTGTGCAGAGGCCAGGGCTGGAAGCTGTCCTTACGTGGCTCTCCTGGGATGGAATTGATATTTCAGGAGGAAAAAAAGCATCAGGCTTAAAATAAAAGTGACTTTTCCATCTGTGTCATGGAAGAACTGCTACTCCGCCAATGCCACCCCCCCTCCATACTCCCCCTTTTCCCCCCCGCCCTGGCCACTGGTGACATGGAATGGGAAAGACATACATATCCCAAGTGCTTCTTTGGCCACTCGGCCAGCCCACGCCACTCCAAGACCTGCCTTTTGTCCCCTCCCTAGACCCCATTTCTCCCCTTGTTCTCATCTTGGGCCGTGCAGGGGTGGTGACAGTGAGAAGGGTCCTCAGTCCACAGGCCTCTTATTCTTATCCCCCTTATCTGACCCCCAGGTGAAGGAGCTAATAAACACTGGGGGCGGCTGCACTGGGAGGGCCAGGCAGCACCATCTGCCTGGGTCCTAATTCTCCAACATTGTCCCTGAGATCACACTGTGCCACAGGAGGAGAGGTGGTCCCCATCAGCTTCAACAGTGAGGAGGAGGCTGGATCCTAAAGGAAAGGAAGCTGCCCACCAGACTGGGCTCCGATCTTTCCTGGAATGAGGGGCTCATGATATTACAGGATGCCTAAAAATGTCTCATTTCCTAACCCAACTCTAATTACTTAACTTCTCTCAGCATTTTTGTACTTAAATTTAAACTTGTTTCAATATCCTTTGCTTTAGTCAATTAGCTTTAGCTTTAGTCACTTAAAATGTTTATTCACTCAGCAAATGTTAATTGAATACTGGGCGCTGTTCTGAATGTGCTGGAGATCCAGCAGTGAACAGGACGAGAATCTTGATCCTGGGGAGCTGGCGGTTTTGTGGGGGCACACACAATGTACACACGAAGACAGAGCATATAGGACAGTATGGCCAGGTGGCCCACATGGCATGGAGGATGGTGGTGAGGGTGAAGCTGGAGCAGACCCCCATAGGGACATGAATGACAGAAGAGCCTCACCAGGACCTGAGGCCAAGGTGGACTTCAGGAGCCCAGGGTGCTGGAGTACCTGGTGCAGGGGTGGAGAGGTGAGGACATAGGCAGGAGGTGGGGGTGAGAGAGGGGCAGGGCAAGGATGAGGGGCAGAAGGAAGCAGCTGGTCTGAGGAGGAGAGCCTTGTTGCTATCAAAACAATCTAGGTACTCAATGAAAAAAGCGAAACCCCATCTCAAATCAGTACTTTAGATTCTTTTTGTTGTTGTTTTCCTTGTGGTGCTGGGAGTGGAACCCAGGATCTTGCATGTGTTAAGCACATGCTTTACCAATGAGCTACCTCCCAGCCCTCCATATTTTAATCCCATGCACATTTCACTACCCAAACCACAGTGTGACACAGCCTGCATTTTCCCTTGTACTGACACTGTCTCTCCTTGGCAGATTATGTTGAATCCTTACCCACTTGCTGCTCCTGTCTTCTCTCCCCTCTTTTCCAGGTCTATATCTATATTCTTCTGTAAGTCTCTTTGTTTCTTCTTTGTCCTGCAACTAGCTCCAATGGTGCCTTTATTTCCCCCTTTCCCCCCAACTCACCCTGAACCTGAGGCCCTCCCTCTGGTGCCCCCTCCTACAAGCCCCTCCCCAGCTCTGTAGCCTCTGGCCTGTTTATTCATGGGACTATGTGTACCAGTAGGTGATGCTGTCCCCAGGCCACCTCTCCTCTCTCCTGCCATCTGTAACTCACACCACTGCCTGGTGTCATCTAACACTGACAAGCATTTGAGGCCCCCAGTGTGCAGGACAAAGTTGCACTGTGCCAGCCTACAGGACCATTCCTGATTGCTAGAGTTAAGTTCAGGTGAAATAACAAAAGACCAAATAAACAAACAAAAAAACCCACACAAAAGCAAAACAAACACTTAGGCTTAAAGAAGCTAGAATTTTATGTCTCGATGATGAAAAAGAAGCCTAGAATGGGGAAGACCGCAGGTGGTGTAGAGACCCGGCTGCACCTGAGGGATCTTGGGTGCCCATCTTCCTTCTCTGCCATTCTCAACATGTGCTTCTTGTGCTCAAGGTCATTTCATGGTCCAGAATGGCTTCTACAGGCACGAGCTATCACATCTCAAGTCTGGACAATCACTTTCTTACTTTGCCCTCTAAATACATGTTGGACTGTTTTTAAGGGTCCCCCTAATGTGACTCAGGATGTAGCAACAAATCACCTCCCAAATTAAAAAAGTGAGAATTTGAGACTGACTGAGACTCAACCAACAAAGAGCTTCCCAGTAATGAACCTAGTGGATAACAGGGTCTCTCTCATTTTGGATTTCTGAATCTGAGACTTTTGGACTATGTCTGATCTCAGGAATAAAATGAAACAGAAGACACCAAATGCTAGCAAGGGTGTAGAGCAATGGGAGACATCATTCATTGATGGTGGGAATGTAAAGTGGGATAGCCTCTTTTTACAGTGTGGCAGTTTCTTACAAAGGTAAACATGCTCTTGCCATGAGACCTAGCAACTGTGCTCCTTGGTAGTTATTCAAGCAAACTGAAAACTTATGCCCCACAAAAAGCTGCACAAGTGTGTTTATAACAGCTTTCTTTAGACTCACCAAACATTGTTGTTCAAGAGGTGAACAGCTCTATTGTGGTACATCCATATACTAGGATGTTATTGAGTAGTATGAAAAGAAAGGAGTTATCAAGACACAGAAAGACATGGAGGAATCTTAAATAATTATTACTAAGTGAAAGACCACATACTGTATGATTCCAACTCTATGACATTCCGGAGAAGGCGGAACTACAGAGTTACTAAACATACCAGTAGGGATGGATGTGGGGGTACATGAACAGGTAGACAC